ATCGCATCTTTTGGCGCTTGTCCTATCTCCTTCCGGAGTCGACGCAGCCACACCACTTCTTAAGACACGGAATGCAGCGCAACATACTCGGTCTCGGTAGAAGTAGCGGCGACGGTCTTTTGCCTCTTGGATTTCCACGTCACAGCGCCACTGTGTAGCAACATGACGAATCCGTTTACGAATCGGCGAGTATCAAGGTCCAATGACCAGCTGGCATCCGCGTGACCGACGAGTGCACTTTCTCCGCCGCTATAATAAATCGCTGCGTCTTGCGTTGAGACGCGGTTCTTAAGCACGCGGCGTGCGGCCAACCGGTGAGACTTGTTCGGCGTCTCGCAAAACTTGGCCACCTCCCCCTCCGCGTGCGCAACGTCTGGACGTGTACATATTGCAGCGTACATCAAAGAACCCATCAGTTCTCGATATGTGTGCTGGGTCATGGGGGCGTCGGACTTTGCGGTGAGGGGTGTTTTTGGGTCGGCTGGGATCGCGGTTGGCTTTCATCCGGCCAACTATAACCGCGTTGGTCTAGCTCTAATGTGCGTGAGGCATGGTCGCGTCGCACTTCAATACCCAATCAACAGCGCAACTCACCAAACTCCTTGATGCCAAACTGTTCCTTGAGTTCGTCGCGCACCAATGTGATGTCGTCTAGTTTCAGGACAATATCAATCAAATTGTCCGCATAGTCAACCACGGCGCAAATTTCAACACGTGATGCAGTCTTAAAGAAAACGCATGGATCAGCCTTAAGAGACTCGAACCCTCGCTTGATAAAATGACTACATGATGCCTCATACCATGCCCGCGCGGCCTGTTCGGTACCGTATAACGCGTGCGGCAGCAAACGTAGCATACCTGGTTTAGACACGTCTTCATAGCCAAATGTCTGACCCATGTATACTTCTTCAGCCATGCGGCCGTAGAGAAACGCGGTGTCCACATCAAACTGCTGTATTTCGTAATCTATCTGCGCCGCCACTGCAAGCTTGCATCGGATCGTGCCTAGGCGTGCGACAGGTACAAAGGTCTCGTGGTAGTCCACACCTGGCCGTTGCGCGAAACCTTGTGCAACCAACCAGGCCTTGTAGCGATTAACAGTCTCGTCCGCGTTACGTTTTATCTTGAACAACCAGTGGCGTCCAATAGGTTTCTTGCCAGCCGGTAGCTGCACTAGCCGCCATGTCCTATGGCTTCGCAGAGATCTCTGCTTCCATCGCTTGCTGCCACTGTCTGCAATTCGGTGAGCGTAGAATTTCTCTGTAAATTGTGACACTCTCGTCAGCTGTTTCAGCAACCAGACAAGATAGTGCGGCGAGTATAGCTTCGTAGTCGTCCAGTTGAAACGGTTGCTGGAATACATCCTGGTAGCGCACCACCTCACGACGCTTACGGACTGGCCGAAGGTTGATTTCATCTTGCCGGTCACGACCAGGTTTTGACACAGCTGTGTTGGGACCGGTAAGACTGACAATGGTGGCGTCCATGGCACAATTGTATTGTTTTGTGATAGTTCCATCAAAGCATTCAATTTGCCATGTGGCTCAGCCGGATAAGACACATGCTGACCATGGTCTTCGTTGTTGTCGGTTCGAGCCCTGCACGATGATAATTTAGCATCTGGGACTACATCGATAACATGCGGCACAGTTGTTGTTACGCACGGTTGCGTGTCATCAATATTTTCGCAGCTGGTAATCCCGGCTGTCTCCTCAAATGTTACCGACCGAGAAATGATAATATTTCCTGTTGCCGGACTTAGCAGCCGATATCCTTTCTGATTTCGAGGATATCCCAGAAAACATATCTCACAACTGTGTCTTCAAGCTTGCTGCGCTTCGCCTTGGGCACGTGCGCATAGGCTACACATCCAAAAAATTGCATCCGCTCGTACTGAGGCCGTCGCTTGTACAGCTGTTCATAGGGGGACTTGATCTGACCAGCTGATGGGATAGTATTGCGAACATCTACAGCAGTCACCACAGCTTCCGCCCAGTATTGCTTTCCAAGTCCACTTTACTTTAGCATGCAGCGCACCATCTCGACTAAAGTGCGGTTGATGCGCTCACCCATTCCATTTTGCTCTGGGTTGTAAGGAACCGTGAGCTGCTGTACTACTTCAGTTTTCTCACAGTATGTTTGCAAATCTTTGCTGGTATACTCGCCGCCGTTGTCACTTTGTAAAATTTTAACACATGTGTCTGACGATGCCTCGGTGTAGGTCCGAAAGCTGATGAAGTGCTGTAGGACTTCGGACTTGGCACGCATCGGATAAACCATCGAGAAACGCGCCGATATCACAGTGAACGTGACGAAGTAGCGAGAGCCTGACACAGACGATGGGGTGATCGGCC